ATGGAAATCTAAGCAAAATTGTTGTTTTAATGGCATTACAATGGCCAAACCATGAAAGTGTTATCGGGTACCAACCAAAGAAATCTTGTTTAGTCTTTTCCAATAAAGGAACAAAATTCAAGTCAAAAAGCCGGGAACAATCTGCAGAAAGGTAGGTACCCAGGTCTTTCAACTTATCAGGTGACCAGGAAAAGGGAAAGTTGGAGGGCAAACGAGCAACCTCTTGAGGCGACAAAATTATAGTCTGGGCAAAATATTTGGATAGGTTTAATTTAAAATTGGAGAGAGAGAGTGGTATATCTCAAATTCCTTCAAGAGCATAGGCACGGATAAGTGGGGGCAGCAGATAAAGAATATCACATCATCCGCAAAAACAGCCTTTAACCAGACCTCGAAAAGATAACTAAGCTCTAAGGCGACATAAGAATGGCTCCAAGGTGAGGATGAAAATGATCGGCGAAAGAGGACAGCTTTTTCTCGTACCGTTAGATAGTGAAGAGTAATCCAATCTGGTCCCGTTCACACAGACCGCAGCAAATGCAGAATAATGTACCTACGATCCTAAGGAAGTGAGGGTTCAACCTACTTGGGGGGTATTAATAAATTAACTGAAACAATATTGCTGGGAGATGCATCCACATCAATCACGTTGGGGCTAACAAATATAAAGCTCTTAATAGAAAACATATAAAGGTAAATACACAGGTGTGGCCAGTACATTAGTAAACACAAACTATAGTGTGAGCTACTCGAGGGGGGTGATTGGGCTCTAGGGAGAGACCGAGAGGGGTCTCCGGAGAAGACCAGCCGCCGCCATAGAAAAAAAGAGGCAGCCCATTGCGCCACCAGCCACTGAAGGGGAGGACAGCAAGGTAACTGACAATGCAAACATATCAAAAGTACAGTAAGCAAAACTAAAACTGGCCCCAGATTGTGGAAGTCGGACCGCGTCTCCCCACCCTTAAAACAACGATCCTCTTAGATGCAGATTGGGAGGGAGGCCCACCGCAAGGCCAACCGCCACATATCAACTATCCCAAAATTAAACACAAACCAGAT